AAAAAAAAATATATATATATATATCTATATATATATAAATAATAATAAAATAAAAATTTAAAAATAAATAAATAAAAACAAAGATCAAAGTCTTAAAAAAGAGAGAAAAAGAAAAATACTTTACATATTTATTATGCTTACTCATACTCTTTCTATCTCTAATTAATAGCTGGAGGAAGCTTACAATAAAAAACATTTATAATTAAAATAACTGATCAAAAATCAGATAAAGGAAGTCAGAGATAATCAAAGTGAACATACATCCCTGGGAACAGTTCCAGTTTAAATTTGGTGTCTTGGCTAGCATAATTTGTTTTTAAATTTTTTGTAGAGACAAGGTGTTGCTATCTTGACTAGCTGGTCTCAAACTTCAGAGCTCAAGTGATCCTCCCGTCTCAGCCTCCCAAAGCACTGGAATTATAGTCATGAGCCACCACATCCAGCCTGGCATAACTATCAACAGTGCCCCTTGTGCTTTGTGGTCACTTTAGGATAACTGCATCAAACACTAGGCTCACAAAGTAGCTAAGTTGAAAAGGATCTTATGAGCACCAGAAAGTTAATGCTAAAAAAAAATATTAATTCTATAATGCTCAGTATATCCTGACGTTATACTGTATATCTGTGTATTTATTTAACTAATGGCTTCCCCAATAAAACATAAACGCCAGCTGGGCTAGGTGGCTCAGCCTGTAATCCCGCACCTTTGGGAGGCTGAGGTGAGTGGATTGCCTGAGCCTGCGGGTTCGAGACCAGCCCGGGCAACTTGGCGAGATCTCGTCTCTACGATAAAATTAAAAATAGCCAGGCGTGGTAGTGCGCACCTGTAGTTCCAGCTACTCAGAAGGTTGAGGCGGAAGGATCGCCGGAGCCCAGCAGGTCGAGGCTGCGGCGGCTGGGAGTGGCCACTGCACTCCAGTCTGGGTGACAGAGTGAGACTCCAACCCAAAAAAAAAAACAAAACATAAACACCATGAAAATAATTTTTGATTTGTTCATAACTGTATCTCAGGGCCTAGAACAGTGCCTAGCACACAGTGGCCATTCAACCAGGAACAAATTGTCTAAAAATGAAAGTCTGTCAGTCTTCAGAAGAGTCTTTTTTCTTGGACAAATTGTGAAGGCAGTGATTTTACAAAGATACAGAATAATGTTCTTCATGGGCCAGTGCTTATATCTACCTTAAATAAAAGCCAAATGCATGTCCAGAGAGGTATTTCGGGGGGAGGAAGCTAAACACATGCAACCTAAACATGGCATTTTTAATTAAATTTAACCTAGGGGAATGGATACCAGGGAAGTGCAATAAAATGTTAGAGGCAGAATCTAAGGAATGGATGTATGGGTGTTCACTGACAATTCTATCAACTTTGCTGGAAGTTTGAAAATGTTGGGCAATCCCCTCAGGTCCCTTCCCACTTTATTGAGAGCTTTTCTGTCCTCTCAATATATCCTGCTTTCAAAAAAACAAAAAAGAAAATGTTCCTAATACAATGTTGAGGCAAAACAATGAAACCCTTTGATCTAGGGGGAGGGATTTACAAAACGAAGATGAATATCTGTCACTGGGGAGTGCCTGCTCAGTGACTGCTCACTCGCTTTCTGACAAAGGTGAATATGTTGTGCGGTTGGTTAGAGGGGAGCCTGTGGGCTCCAGATGCCATATACACAGGTACAAAACCATTACTGTCTTGTACTTGCTAAGAAACATGACCAATGTTCTGATCCAAATGGAGGGACGGGCTGCAGGTGACATGGGGTCTCAGTAAGAAAAGGCATTGGGGGAAATGTAAGGGATGCTAAAGGACTTGGATTCACAACCAGGATGGTGCAAAGAGCAAGCTGAGATGATCACGAGACAGGCAACAATCTGTTCTTAACACATTTGCTTCTTAGTTTAAATGCTCCTGATTTTAATTCAATGGCTTTTAGTTCTTACAATTAATACATGTACACTTTAGTGGACATCAGCTACACACATATTTATCAACCATATCTATCCAGATGAGTAGACTGAAGTCCTGGGCTTTGGCTGAAACCCCCAATTCTTCTCCTGAAGATCTGAATCTGCCCCAACCTCAGATACCACCTGACTTTCATGAACATTTTGCTTCCACTTTTAAGGAAGCGCCACCAAGAAGTAGGAGAATAAAATCATATTATAGCTTCAGACTTTACAAAAACAGAGCAGCAAAAAGTACACCCAGCCGGGCTCAGTGGCTCAGCCTGTAATCCCTCGCTTTGGGAGGCTGAGGTGAGTGAATTGCCTGAGACCGCGAGTTCGAGACCCGCCTGGGCAACTTGGCGAGACCTCATCTCTACAATAAAATCAAAACTAGTCGGGCATGGTAGTGCACGCCTGTAGTTCCAGCTACTTGGAAGGCTGAGGCGGAAGAATCGCTGGAGCCCAGCAGGTTGAGGTTGCGGTGGCCGGGAGCGTGCCATTGCACTCCAGACTGGGTTATGGAGTGAGACTCCAAATCAAAAAAAAAAAGAAAAAAAAAGTACACCCATAAGAACAACCGACACTAAGATGAGTCTAGGAAAATATTAAGAAATTACAGGCCATGCTCAGTGGCTCAGCCTATAATCCCAGCACTTTGGAAGGCCAAGGCCAGTGGCTTCCCTGAGCCCACGGGTTTGAGACCAGTCCGGGCAACTTGGCAAGACCTCGTCTCTACAATAAATCAAAAACTAGCCGGGCATGGTAGCGCACACCTGTAGTTCCGGCCACTTGGAAGGCTGAAGCGGAAGGATCGCCAGAGCCCAGCAGGTTGACAATAGGGTGGTCATGAGCGTGCCACTGCACTCCAGCCTAGGCCACGGAGTGAGACTCCAACTCAAAAATAAATAAATAAAAATAAATTATAGAAATTAAATCAATACACATGGGAACAAAATCAAATCTTTTGCAATCGATACTTTTAAATTTTTAGTCTGGTTTTTTTTTTTTTTTTTTTGAGTTGGAGTCTTATTCCTTCACCCAGGCTAGAGTGTAGTGGCACATTCTCGGCCACCCCAGCATCAACTTGGTGGGCTCTGGCGATCCTTCTGCCTCAGCCTTCCAAGTAGCCGGAACTACAGGTGTGTGTTACCATGCCCAGCTAATGTTTGATTTATTGTAGAGATGAAGTCTTGCCAAGTTGCCTGGACTGGTCTTGAACCCGCAGGCTCAGACAATCCACTCACCTCAGTCTCCCAAAGTGCTGGAATTACAGGGTTGAGCCACTACGCCCAGTCCTGTTTTGATCTTTTTGCAAACTTTTACTACCAGTTCTGGTCAAAAAACACTGTTTTACTAAATGATTACTTATTAATACTTAATTTCTACTTTTAAAACCATTAGCTTCCTTTTTAATAGATTTCTAAATATGCTAAAAGTACATTTACAATATAATCAAAAAATCTGGTTTCAGATATCTTAGAAGATCAGCAATCTCTCTATATACTGACCATATAGACTCAAATCACATTTCCATAGGAATACTGGGCAACAAATCTTAACATTATCTGGCTGCATCAACTTTTTCTCTGAGGGTATTGATCTTAGAATGACTGTTAATGAAATGAAAAAAATGATACCTTGGATTCCCTTTTCTTGTGCTCTTCTTTCGATGATCTCTCCTTTTTACCCATGTTACTGTGGTGCCTTTCATCATCAAAATAAAAGCCTTCTTTGTGTCGTTTTTCTTTATGTCTTTCTTCCCCTTCTTTGTCAGAGAATGAATTGCTTTTCTCTTTTGAATATTTTTCTCTTTTGTCCCGTGTGCTGCTTTTCTCTTGATGGTTCTTTTCTCGATCTGGCTCTCTTGATTTCCTGTGTCTTCTCTCATCTTCTTCTTTATAAAGCCAGTACTTGAGAGGGTTGTCTTTGCTGTAACCATACTGCAACTATGAAATGCAACATGTTGAAAATATACAAACACATGAAGCAGGAGTGCAGGTAGCCCTCTGCACCCGTGGATTCAACCAACCACAGATCAAAACTATTTGGGGAAAAAAAGTTGCATTTGTAATGAACATGTACAGACTTTTTTCTTGTTATTATTCCCTAGACAATACAGTGTAAAAACTATTTATATATCGCTTACATTGTATTAGATATTATAAGAAACCTAGAGATTATATAAAGTGTGTAGGGACTATGTGCATAGGTGATATTTAGATATGGTACCACTTCACATAAGGGACTTGAGCATCTGTGGATTTTGGTATCTGAGGGTGTCTTGGAGCCCATCTCCCATAGACACTGAGGGACAACTACGTTCTGTCTTTATATATGTTATGATAAAAGCAAGGAAAATTGCAGAACTACCATGTCCCTTTCACTCCTCTATCCTGCTGTCAGTTATCTTCCTAAAAACTAAATCTGCTTTATCTTTCTAGAAAGAAAAAAATCCTGTTCATACCACCGATCCACAGTTAGCCACAATACCACCCAACCCAACTCTGCAAAGAACAGAGAGACTCAGCGGCCCAACCACCCTCTCCAATATGGAAAGCAGCATCACCTTCCTGAGCAAAGCATCTGGCATTCATAGTGGGCCCTTCTGACCGCCACAGTCTCTTTCTTTCATGCTTGTCACCCTCATCCTAAGCTCCACCAGCTCCCAAGTTCCCTACTATGAAAGCTTTGTGACTTGTCCAGGAAGATACTCTCTTCAGTGAGCAATGACAGCACAAGGCTGCCATCTGTCTTATAATGTTGGTCACATCTCTCTTTCTTTCTTAATTTGTCCCACCCAGATGGAGATTCCTGAAAATAAGGACCACTGTTTAATCATCTCTGTAGCCCCAAAGCATCTCTGTGGATGCTCAGTAAATAACTGGTAATCTTCACCCTAAGCTAGTTATCATGACATAATATTTTTGGGTCCAACTCAATTCTGGGAGCCTTGACAACATGCTCAACAGACCCCAGAGCCTACCTGTTCTTATCCTTTCCTGTGTGGTCTTGCCTGCTCACCCCCCTTACCAGGGACCCCTGGATTCCTGATCTGTAGCACCCCCTCTCACACCTCTTAGTGCCTGGGGTCTCCTCCATCTCCTGTGGACCCAACAGTATCTTCTCCACTCATCTCCTTTCCTCAGTCTTCTCTTCTCAGACACAAAAACACCTGCTCGTTTCTGCCAGGTTAATTTTCCTTAAGAATAACAGGCGGATGCTGGGCTCAGTGGCTCAGCCTGTAATCCCACGCTTTGGGAGGCTGAGGTGAGTGGACTGCCTGAGCCTGTGGGTTTGAGACCCGCCTGGGCAACTTGGCGAGACCTCATGTCTACAATAAATCAAAAAATCAGCCGGGTGTGGTAGCGCGCGCCTGTAATTCCGGCTACTCAGAAGGCTGAGGCGGAAGGATCGTCAGAGCCCAGCAGATCGAGGCTGCGGTGACCGGGAGCGGCCATTGCACTCCAGTCTGGGTGACAGAGTGAGACTCCAACTCAAAAAAAAAAAAAAAAAAAAAGATATTATAGAAGCCAGGCTCAGTGGCTCAACCTGTAATCCCGCGTCTTTAGGAGGCTGAGGTGAGTGGATTGCCTGAGCCCGCAGGTTCGAGACCTGCCTGGGCAGGCGAGACCTCATCTCTACAACAAATCAAAAAAAAAAATTAGCCGGGCGTGGTAGCACACGCCTGTAATTCCGGCTACTCGAAAGGCTGAGGCGGAAGGATCGCCGGAGCCCAGCAGGTCGAGGCTGCGGTGGCCGGGAGCGGCCACTGCACTCCAGTCTGGGCGACAGAGTGAGACTCCAACTCAAAAAAAAAAAGATATTATAGAGAAATATGATAACTTAGGAAGATGCTCAAAATGTGTTAAGTTTAAACATTTTATAAAACAATAAAAACCCAATTTAAGAAAAAAATGTATATATAAACCTGGTAAAATACATTCATAAATGCTATCAATATTTGTCTCTGGGTGAAGATTAGACAGCTTTTGTTTTCTTATTATTTTTTGAATCTTCTAAATTTTCTAAAATAATCAATTACTACCCTGGGAATAAAAGAAACACACATGAGGGAAAAGAAACTGACTATACAAAGTACTTGAGACCTTTAATAAATCCTGTTTTATAAAATTTTCCAAAATCTCTTCTAATCATAATGCTTAAAATGTCCTCTGCTTTGTAACATTTGGAAAGCCTTTCCTGGGGCCTTTTTCTGTATACCTTTCTCTCTCGGTATCTTCTTTCTCTGTCTTCATCTCCTCTTTCAGAGTCTTCATGTCTCCTTTCTTTCTCTTCACTTCTTATCTTACTTACTAGAAAAAATAAAACATGTTTTTAACCCTCTCAAATTTTAGCACACAGAAAAGATCTTCTTACATCTTGCCACAGACCTCACTGAACTTTTTATGTTTATTTCCACACATTAAAAAATATTGTCGGCTCGGTGGCTCAGCCTGTAATCCCAGCACTTTGGGAGGCTGAGGCGAGTGGATTGCCTGAGCCCGTGGGTTCGAGACGCACCTGGGCAACTTGGCGAGACCTCGTCTCTACAATAAATCAAAAATTAGCCAGGAGTGGTAGCGCGCGCGCCTATAGTTCCGGCTACTTGGAAGGTTGAGGCGGAGGATTGCTGGAGCCCAGCAGGCCGAGGCTGCGGTGGCCATGAGCGTGCCACTGCACTCCATTCTGGGTGACAGAGTGAGACTCCATGTCAAAACAAAAACAAAAACAAAAAAAACCCATAGGACTAGTTCTAGTCAGCGAGGGAAAGGATAGCTGGAGAAGTGGTTCGAGGGCCAAGCCCTGGATCAAGGTCACACTTTATACACAGGGAGATGCAGAAGGAAGAGGAGATGAGGGAAGAGACCTACAAATGATGACAGAAAGAACTTTAAAGAGTCTAAGTGTACAATTGGTCTGTTCAGCGCAAGACATTTCAATACTGCACTGAAAAAAATAGAGCAGGTAGCAAAAGAAAAAAGAGAAATCTGAAAACAAAAGATTTTATTTGAAATAAGTACCAAGAAGATCAAAAATAATAATTCTTAAAAGAGCATTAAACAGAAAAATAGTTACTGCTAAAATTAATTGGTGGTAAACCAACTAACCCATCAATTCTACCCTTAAGTACACCTAACAGAAATGTACATTTGTGAACACTGAAAAACACACAAAACAATGTTCTTAGCAGCCCTATTCCTAACAGGTTAAATCTGCAAACAACTCAAAAGGCCGCCAACAGTAAAATTGTCAAATAGATCACAGTATGTCTATGTAAGGAATATAACAATGAAAATGAGTAAGGGTCCTTGGCTTCCATCATTTTCATAGTCAGGCCTTCTAGCCTTTCTGCTGACTCTAAGAGTTAAACATATTCTTTTAGTATATTCCTTTTTCACTCATGTGAAAAAACAGTGAATAAAATTCCATTTTGGGAGGGGAAAAAAGTATGCCCCTTTAATTTAGATTCCTAGGAATTTAGCTAAATAATATTTAAATATTGCTTAAAATAAAACTGATACCTTTGAGAAATATTTTTATCAACTAGCATTGTTTTTGTTTATTTACATAGGGTAAATTTATTGAAATAATAAGTCTAAATTATATTTTAATAGTAAAACTCTAGCAAAAATGAGAAAGTGTTACCCCTCTCATTGACTGAATGCTTTAAAAAATTCAAAAAGAAAACAGCAATTAAAAGTACACATGGGCCAGGCTCAGTGTCTCAGCCTGCAATCCCAGCACTTTGGGAGGCCGAGGCAAGTGGATTGCCTGAGCCCATGGGTCTGAGACCCACCAGGGGAACTTGGGAGCCCTTGTCTCTACAATAAATCAAAAATTAGCTGGGCATGGTAGAGCACACCTGTAGTTCCAGCTACTTGGAAGGCTAAGGGGGGATCACCTGGGTCCAGCAGGTCAAGGCTGAGGTGGCCGGGAGTGTGCCACTGCACTCCAGCCTGGGTGACAGAGTGAGACTCCAACTCAAAAAAAAAAAAAAAAAAAAAGTACACATACATACAAACACACACACACAGAGAAAGAAAGAGAGAGAGAAAACAGGGGCCTATACATTCCAAAACCAAAAATAAAACATTATGAAAACTATGAGAAAACAAAAAGAAGAAAATGTCTCAAACAGCAAGAACTTTTAAGAGATAACAGCTAACAAACCGCCCTACCAGCTAAGCAATGCCTTAGGAGGAAACAGGAAGCTCTCAACCCAGAGGCACCGAGACTCACCTGAGCGGCTCTTCCTCTCTGGCCTCTCCAGGAGCTGCGGATGGTGTGCCTCAGTGCCCAGCAGGTTGTGATGGGCAGTGGTCTGCTGGAGCTCTTTTGCCCTGGCCCTTCTGTCCTTTTCTTTTTCTCTGTCTTTCCCTCTACTGTGAGACTTTTCTGCCTCTTGTTCTCGATATTTCTCTTTAACCTTCTCTTTCTCCCGGTCTTTTGTCTCTTTCTTCCTTTCCTTCTGTTTGTCTGTGTCCCTTTCCCCTCTGTCCTTGGTGGTGTGAACTTCTGTCACCCGTTCTGTGTTCTTGGTGTCTCGCTCTGGATTCCTGGACTTATGCTCTTTGTATTCAGGAAGCTCCATTTCCAACTCCTTGTGCCGTTTCTTTTCTCTGTTTTTCTTGTCTTCCTTGGGACTATCTGATTGTACAGCCTAAACCAAGAGGGAAAAAAGGATCCTTCTTGACCAAGACAACAGATTCCCAGTAGACTTTTAATATCTTAAGGTGAGAAGAGCTCAGAGTCATACTAGCATTTCCACTACTGACTGACACCCCAAATATCAGAGACATTCATGTGTATTGGTTAATAAAAGCTACAATATTACATGGACTAGAAAGAAAGAGATACCAAAGCTGTGTTTTAAAGTCACTGAGACAAGAACCACCAGGGTTCTAGATAAAGAACAAGGGCAGAAGGACTCGATCTCACTCCCCAGTCCCCTCTCCCTGCCCCACTGCTGCTGCCCCTCTGAAGGAGAACCGCTCGCCCCGGAGTAGTGCAGGGCTGCCTTGAGCCACAACAGGGCCCAGGGAGCTGGTGGTGGTGTCAGGCTGGACTAACAAACGCATCCCACTACAGTTCTAGAGAGACTAGATTAACCACACAGCTTCATCTCTGAGTCAAAAACACCTCTGAAATGAGCCTCAGGTAACCGAAGGTGTGCAGTGATGTGAACCAGGTAAAATTGTTCAAGATCCCAACTTATATCTTTAAAATATATTACCCAAAGGTGTTTTCTGAGGTCTTCTGCCTTCCAAGTATCATCTTTGCTTCTTCTCTAAATAGAAAAGCATAAAGTTAGAATTTTTATTTTTTATTTTTTGAGTTGGAGTCTCACTCTGTCGCCCAGACTGGAGTGCAGTGGCCGCTCCCAGCCACTGCAGCCTTGACTCACTGAGCTGCTGTGATCCTTCTGCCTCAGCCTTCCGAGTAGCCAGAATTACAGGCATACGCTACCATGCCCGGGTGATTTTTTGATTTATTGTAGAGATGAGGTCTCGCCACGTTGCCCAGGTGGGTCTCAAACCCGCGGGCTCAGGCATTCCATTCACCTCAGCCTCCCAAAGCGCAGGATTACAGGCTGAGCCACCGAGCCTGGCTTTATTAGGCCATTTCAATCAATGGTAATTAATTCCTGATATGCCAGAAAATACTTGTCTACCCACTGGAATAAAGGTTATAAAATATAGATTTTTTTAAAAAGTATTCACTAGCCGGGCGTGGTAGCACACGCATGTAGTTTCAGATACTTGGAAGGCTGAGGCGGAAGGATCGCCGGAGCCCAGCAGGTCGAGGCTGCGGTGGCCGGGAGGGGCCACTGCACTCCAGTCTGGGCAACAGAGTGAGACCCCAACTCAAAAATAAATAAATAAATAAATAAATAAAAAGTATTCACAAGCTAAAATCACCCACAATTATCACAGAATATATCCCTTTGGCTACTTCAAAAATGATTAAATATTACAAAATAAGAGTGAAAACAAGTTATAATGGCAGTTGAACAACAAATCAAAGACAAATATTTTGTGGATTTAAAATATATTGTGTCAGACTGTATTTTCCAAAGAGGGATGTCTGCTCCTTCTGTAGCAGTTGGGCCCATACTAGGACAGAGGAGGCTCTGAGACTCCCATGGAGATGGGTTTCCACCTGGTCCTCCTGGGGCTGCAGCTCAAGGCTCTCAGCAATGAAGGAGAAAAGCAGCCATGGGGGAGGGGCCCCCTGTGGCGATGACCCCACCAAGGACCCAGCACTACACAGTCAGCAGCAGTGACCAGAAGCACAAAAGGCAAGATTCCAAAAGGCCCCAGTTGCACCTAATGAGTCACTACCCCAAAACCTAGAGTTTCCCCAGTCAAGGGATGTCAGGAGCAGATCTAAACCCTCCCCCCGCCCGCCGCCCGCCCGCTGCAAGTTCAGTCCTGATCCACAGAATATGGAGCACAACCAAAAGGCCGCCATTGTTACACACAGAGTCAGTGGTGTTTGTATGGGGCACTAGCAACTGGGAGGTACAGACAGGCTGTAAACACATGTATTTAGCATCTAATGCATGTCAGGTGCTGTGCTGACTCAAGCGCACTATCTGAATCGCACAATCCTACTATAAGGTTACTGGCTGCACTTTACCAAAGAGGAAACTAAGGCCTAGGAAGCTCAATGGCTTTCATCTTGAGCCATGTACACTGTCAGGCACAAAATAGGAATGGAGTAAATATCTAGAATGAATGAAAAGACGATGGTCATTGTGAAAATACCTGCCCATCCCTGCTGACCACCCTAACACACTTTTGTCTTCACTGGAAAACTGGGCAACCCCAAGGCTCAGCAGTCTCTCCATCTCACAGGAATGCCTGCACTCATTCAACAAACACACCAAGCTCCTGGCAAACCTGAAGCACTGTTCCAGGCACTGGGTCTACCTTGACAGACAAAACTCAAGAGAAGTGCCTCCCTCCAAAACTGTCATCAAGCTTCTCTAACATCTGTTGTTGTCTGTTAGGAGATGGTTTACTCTTGGCTGGAGAATCTCAAGCATAGATCACATCTCCATATATTTTCAGCTGTGATCACGTCTCCTTCAATTATGATCACATTTCCACATATTTTGAAGTATAATCACATCTCTCCATCTTCCAATCATAATCACATTTCCATATGCTTTCAAGTGTGATCACATCTCTCTTTGTATTATGATCACATCTCTCCAGGTAAACACTAACATTCAGGAAAGAAGATTGATCTCAGTCTTCTCTATCTCACAGCCACCTTGCACTGCTTAGCACATAATGGTACTTCACAAATATCAGTCATGAAATAATACAAACTGGTTTCCTAGCAAAGGAGTGCATCAAGGCAGTTAGTTCATCAGTTACGCACATTGTTCTAAGAACTTAAGGGAGAATATTAAAATAAGGTGAGGTTGGTCTTAAAATATCTCCAGGGAAAAAAAAAGCAATTCTTCCTTTGAACGTTAAGTGTAATCTCCCTTCCCATGAACAAGGGCTGGATTCAACCACTCACTTCTAATGAGGAGACCAGGGTGGAAGCCATGCGATGTGACTTTCTTGTCAGGGTCTAAAATCAGCAGCTTCTACTGGCTCTGGTGCGCATTTGCTCTCCTTCTCTATTCTTGGAGAAGCCAGAACCATTTCGCAAGGATACTCTATACTCCTGGAGAGGCCCTCTGGAGAGGCCCTGTGCAGAGGCCAGCACCCACACAGCAGCCATGTAAGCGGGCCTCCTGGAACAGCCTCTCAATCCAATTAAGCCTTCATATGACATCATGACTGCAACCCAGTGTTCCATCCAAGCCATTCCCCAATCCCTCACACAGAAACCATGAGGATAACCCAAGTTTCTCAGTGTTTTGAGGCAAGGTGAAGACTTACACTCTCCATCCCCACCACTCACCTCAGACAGCTCCCAGTCACATGGCCAATACCTGCCTCCCAACGACCATCACAGACCTGCTGACAGCATTTGCTATCAAGGTCTGTGTTGATCCACTTAATGGAGTACAGGCCCTTTGCAGAGGGACTCACAGCCTGCTCTTTGGCAATATAACTGCTCCACCATCCTACACTCACTCAGTACCAAGCACAGCCACTAATCACAACACTACAGTAACACACACCAACAGCAAGGTAACACCTGTGTATAAGATAAAGCTTGACAACAAAGCTAACCTCAGTCAAGCAAAATTCATCAAGGATGGTGTTGTGCAGAGGACAAGGTGATATTTATCATACCTATTTAATTTTTTCTTCAGAGAAATACTGCCTTAAAGGCAAAAAGGAAGAGTTTGGGAAGTGTGTCAGAAACAAAAAGTAGATTTAGTTCAAATAAAAATAAAAACATCATGAATAAGTTACTAAAAATCTTCCTAGCCATGTGAAAATTAGGGCAAGCAGAAAAAAATCCCATTAGCTCACAAATACAAAAAATAGCAAATTTTAAAAAGTCAGTTGTATGACCAGACCAGTGGCTCAGTCTGTAATCCCAGCACTTTGGGAGGCCGAGGCGAGTGGAATGCCTGAGCCCGCTGGTTCAAGACCAGCCCAGGCAACTTGATGAGACCTTATCTCTACAATAAAATTTTTAAAAAATAGCTGAGCATGGTAGCGCACAGTCTGTGGTTCCGGCTACTCAGAAGGCTGAGACGGAAGCATCACCAGAGCCCAGCAGGTCAACGCTGGGGTGGCTGTGAGCGTGCCACTGCACTCCAGCCTGGGCAAAAAGAGTGAGACTCCAACTCAAAAAGAAAACAAAATCAGTTATATGAACCTAGCCAAAATATACTATCACCACAAAATTTACCAAGATCTATCACTAGAACACTTATCTTTTTTTTGGTAAACTGGTGAATCTGCCAAATGTGTTCCCAGTAAGAAGATATGGTAAGCTGGGCTCGGTGGCTCAGCTGTAATCCCGCACCTTTGGGAGGCTGAGATGAGTGGACTGCCTGAGCCCACGGGTTCGTGACCTGCCTGGGCAACTTGGCGAGACCTCATCTCTACAATAAATCAAAAATTAGCCGGGCGTGGTAGCGCACCCCTGTAGTTCCAGCTACTTGG